TCCATCCTCCCGCAGCGCCGCAGGCTTCTGCTCTGGCAGTCCTGAGTCCCCCCAGACCCGTCCTCGCCAGAGCCCGTCCCACAGGTTTTCCGTACGTTCGGAGCTGGTGGCTGGAAAAGCTGGTGGCGTTCTGCAGGCTGGGCTGGGTGACCCTGGGGACACACACCGCTGGCAGAAGGACCTTCACGGCCCCACTGGGCAGTGTCTGCAGCTCAGAGGAGGTGCTGATGCAGATGGAGATGCTTTCCAGGGGAGGAATCACACCCAGGTTAGCCACAAAAACAATCCTTTCCAAGTCCTCATCCATCATGATCCTCCCTGCAGAAATAGGACCACACCAGGGTGTCACAGCCCTGGAAAATGCTCCTCCCCAGGCCTTCTGTGACCACCCCAGCCCTGGATAAAATGCCCAAACCAGCCCTCACTGCACACACCAGCGTTCCCCTAAAGAGCCTCAGCCCTCTGCACCACTCCTTCAGCTGCCCAGAAGCAACAGTGCTACCCAGAAGGGATGACACTCCTGCTTTCTGCAGCACCGTAGGGACACGTGCACCACAAGCCAAGGCTCAGCCTTTCAAAAAGAGCCCTCTCAATGCCAGGGCATACAACAGCCAGCCACCCTCCCACTCCTCCTCCCCTGCTTCTCTTCACCACGTTCACTAAAACGCTCCCCCGACCCCCTCACCACTTCCATCACGAGCTCTTCTGTCAGGGAGGCTGCAACCGTCGAAATATGCATCATCTATCTTGGCTTTGTCTTTGATCTGCGCTGTGACGGCACGCCGGGACACGGCCGCCTCAAACCCGACAACAGCGGTGCGCTCATCCAAGGGGTAGATGAAGAGACCTGTGAGCCAGAAAGTTTTTTTAGCAACACCAAGCACTCGCTCGGACCCACCAGCCGAGACCGCACCAGGGAAGCTCCCTCTGGGCACTTCCCTTGCGTGCTCCTGGGATTTTTCACACTTAAAATATTGGAGCCCTGGACTGTGAAGGCTATGACTGAGGCCTCTCAAAGGTTGGAGGCATGGACAGAAACCCAGTGCTGTGAAATCCCTGGTTCTAAAGCTCCTGTAGTAGCTTTTCACCCCTTGGAACTTGCCTTCAAAAGCCTGGGCTTCTGGGTTGCGGTAGGTGAGCAAGGCTGTCATTCCAAAGGCGTAGCCGCTGACGCACGACGTCACCTCCGATGCGGTGAGCGGGAGCGGGGCGCAGGTTTTGCAGTTAATCAGCCCTGGCATCTCTCTGGGGGGGCTCTCGGTGACAGTGGGGTCACCCACAGCGAGCTGGAAGGGCGAGAACAAAAGAGGAGCCCTGAGTGCCCAACACCCCTCTGTGCCCCTGCCACCTCGTTTCGGCTTCTGCAGCCCTGAGGACAGAAAGATGACGGGATGAGACCTGGGTTTGACAGCAGAGATGGGGATAGCAACAAGACCCTGGTGGGGGAAGACACAAGGCAAGGACTTGTCCCAAATCCCCGCTGGTGCAAGAGGCAAGGGCCAGATAAAACGCCGGAGGTCGACATGGTAGTGTTAGATCACGCATCTCACCAGCTCCCACACCCACCTGCTGCTTGGGTCTGGGCAGAACGGGCTAACACCTCGGTTTTGCCCTCATGCTTCTCATTACCCTCCAAACCGACGTGTTTCTCTGGGATAAGTCCACGATCCTGAGAGTTTTCCTTTAGTTTGCAGGAAGAAGGAGCAGGCAGGCAGAGCCAGGCATCCTCCCCACCCTCCCGCACCCTTGCCCGCCGCTGAGTGTTGGGGAGGTGGTGGCTCTGTCGACCCCGCAGATCCAGATCCTCTCTGCCAAGGCTGACTCATCCCTCCGCTTTGCTTAGCCGAGACATTCAGATGCAAAGTGGATACATCTGCCAATTACACTTCAACTCTTTCTCCCGGAGCAGGTTTCCCTCTGTTCCAGCTCATCTCCTCCAAGACTGAGGGTTTCAAAAGATTTTGACCTTTGAGGTAGCTCTCGGGCCACGTTCAGCTCCCCTGGGGCATCAGGAGAAGTTGCTAGGCAGCCGTTCTCCCTGGCTGGCTCTGCAAGGCTTTACGCAATGATTTACAAGGCCCAGAAGGAGCTGGCAGTGGTGAAATACATCAGTTTCTCATTTCCTAGCGGTTCTGCGTTAGTAAAATCACCTTTACATGCAAATGCCACAGTGCGAACGGCGGGCATCAAGGCCACGAGCTCACCGAGCACTCGGGCAGGAAAACATCATTCAGAGAGCAAAAAGGAAAGGCCAAGGATAGCAAGCAGGGATCGGGGAGAGCAGCCGGGGTGCCCGAGCAGATAAAGCAGCAGCGGAGAAGACGATGGAGGGCAGTGATCAAGGCACTCTCCTGAATCCCAGCCAACACTGTCGGCCGTTCACCGTTCAACCCTCCTCTCCTGCCACCACGGCGACTGCTGAGGCCAGGAGCTGCCCACAGCTCGGATGCAGCCGGGGGGATGCAGGAGCTTGTCTGGCTCCGGCACGAGAGCCCTCCGGGAGCCCAGGGGAGGCCACCGCACACGGGGATGCTCCAAGCTGTGCCAACAGGGCTTGTAAACTCAGAAGCTGGCAAGAGCTCACCTGCTACAGGGAGAGATAATGAAGGTCCAGACGTGGCAGAGGCCATCAAGATATCGGGAAATGATTAAATGCCAGGCAGGGGAAGGAGGAGGGGGGATTATTTTGCCTTAGGGAAGAAAGCAAGCAAGAAATAACAAGGGGAAGGTGTTCTCTACCAGCTAGGGAAAACAGGAATTCATTACAGCATTGCCAGAGAGGTGAATTCAGGCTCCAGGAGCGTGACTTCAGCCCGGCAGCTCTCTCGGCTGCGGAGAATTGACAACAGAGATCCAAGCCCCTCACCTCTCCCATGGGAGCTGCTCTGTCAGCTGCGGGTTTCTGCACCCCTCAGGCTGGCACAAGCATTGTGGGACCCTTAGGAGGATGCAGAACCCTGCAGAGAGCAAACAGGTAGAGTCGCTCCTCTCCCGCAGCTCTGCTGTGACTCAGAGAGGCCCTGCACCAGTCCTGCCAGCTCTGGCACCTGCAAAAACCACCCCACGAGGACAGGGAGGACTCGAAGGGCTCTTTCTCCCCACCAAAAAAAAGCCCTTAAGATGGGGCTGGGAGCTGCCAGCGCAGCGCCGCGCAGATCGTGGTGCCAACGCCATCAAGTGACTGCAGCCTGGAAAGGGGAGAGCGGAGAGGTTGGCGCGGGGGGATCAGTGAGAGAGCTGCCATCTCGCTCCCGTGCCCCCCCAAGGAACTCACCAGCGGCCCCTCCAGCTAGTCCCCTCATCTTGCCTTCGCTGCTCCACCACCTGCACTTGGACTCCAGCCAGGTCACGGGGCTGGGCCCTCAGGATCCCACGTCCCAAAAATTACCGCCAGCATCATGGTGCACAGGGCAGCCCTGCCTCCACCTGGTCCTCAGCGTGTCTCCTCACCAAAAGGGCCACAGCAGGAGCAGGGCCACCTCACATGCCCGAACAGAAGCCTCTCAACACATCTGGCATCCTGGGAGAAGGGGAAACTGGTGGTGAATACCTTCAGGCAGTTCACTGTGTGACCGAAAACACCCCCGACCCATAACCCCACCGACCAAGGAGCAGCGCAGGGCTGGGGACAGGAATCGTCCCTCGGACAGTCACGCTCAGGACCTGGCACACCACATTTTCCTGTTTTTTCCCTTGCTTTGCAAACGCTCTTTCCTTGACAATCCGCTTCTCTTCCTGCTCCAGGCTGTGCCCCAGGCCAATTTCTGAGCACAATTTACAGAGAAGGCAGCGACGCCACACCGACACCTGCGGACGGTGCCGG